AGATGGGACCTTTAAGAGAAGATGAAGTCATGACGTTTTCACCTTTGTGAAAGGGTTAATGTCATTATCATGGAAGTGAATCTCAGAGCAGGTTCCTGAGTTTGGCCATCTTGTGGGCTCGTTCTCCCCTTTCATCCTTCCACTATGGGATGACCCTCATCAGATGCCTGCACCATGCTCTGGGACTTCCCAGCCTCCAGAACCTGTGAGCCAAATAAACTTCTGTTCTTCGTGAACCACACTCTGTGGAATTCTGTTCTAGCCGCAGAAGACAGGCTAAGGTGGGAGCTTTCCCGCCAGCTCCCCTCAGAGAAGCAGACCTCCCCATTGCTGATCCCAACTCTCAAACATGCTTGACCGCGAGCTCTGACCTCATCTACGTGACCTGCCCAGTCCTGCTCTCAGCTCTCTGCCCTCGCGGAGGTTTCTAAAAGTGTCTTGCAAGCCAGACTGAATCCATCTTTCCCATTGGTCTCTGGAGGCAAGACCCACCTTGGTTCTTCCCAGAGGCTGTTGCTTCCTCCTTTAAGCCAGCACTTTACATGTCTCCATCCTCGCCACCATGTGACCTTTCCCCACAGAACTCTCTTGGTGTCCTTGCCGCTGTCCTTGCAGAGACAGCAGCTGCTGAAGGGCCCTTCTCTCCTCTCCTCTTTTCCTATTCAGGTTAGGGGTTAACGTGTTACCACGACTGCCGTCTAGGAAGTTTCCAGTCTCCCCCTTAAATGTGTAAAATACTCAAGATTCTGTATGTTCTCTCTCTCTTTCTTTAAAATTTATTTATTTGTTTATTTATTTATTTAATTCCATTTGTTATTATTATTTTTTACTTTGACCAGAGAAAGACAGAGAGAGAGAGAAAGGGAAAGCAAGAAAGCAAGCCACCAGGTCCGGGACTCAAACTGCAGTCGACCATGTGGGAATTAAGTGCCTCTAACCACCACACCACCTGCTGACCCCCTTCATGTTCTTTTTTGGAAACAGCTTTATTAAGATATAATTTTTTTTTTTTTTTTTTTTTTTTTGCTTATAGGGTGCCTGCACTTGCTAGAGAGATGGATAGAAAGGCAGAGAGACAGAAAGCAAGAAATCACCCCTGAGGGGAAAATGGCCACACCGCAATCCCTTCTCCTCCTTTTTCCTCTTGGGATTTTGGGCACACATGCATGTGCACCCAGTGTGTTTTCAGCCACCGGGTCTAGAACTCAAACCACGGTTGTATGTGGGAGTCCAGTGACATAAACGTTATGCCATCTTCTGGTCCCTAAGATATAATTTTTATTCCACACTATTCACCCATTTTTTCCTGTTGTTTGTTATGGGCACATGCGCTTGTTGGAGAGAGAGAGGAAGGGAGAGAGCACCACCCCAATGGGTCATAGTCCCTTCTCAGTCTCTTCTCCATTTCTCCCTCCTGTTGAAGGCACAAGTGCCTGGGTGTTTTTAAGCTGAGATTTGAACTGGGATTTGAACTATAGTTAGCCTTACTGGAGTCAGCTCCGTAACCGCCACGCTACAGGGCTGGCCCCTTCACGTTCTTTTTAACACACCAAGGTCCAGCATTGCTGAGATTTTCAATTCCCAGTTGTATTGAGGAGTAGAGACATTTTTATCACTGTCCTGCAGCACGCCTTGATTTGTTCATGAATATAGAATTCCTACCTGGACATTATGTTCTGTACCTGTGATAAAATTAAAGCGTTTTTGTTGTTGTTGTTTTTTTCAACAATTAGTTTGTAAGACCTGCCAGGGAAAAAAAAAAATCTAATCATACAGTTTCTCTTTTCCTTTTTTTCTGTGTAATTATTTAGGCTCAAAAAATTCTCTCAATTTAGATAAGTGTTCACACTGGCTGAGAGAAAACAAAAGGAGAGCTTCCCCTCAGGGAGGAAAATGTGTGAGCTAAAAAGGGAACTACCTGAGGATCTTAGCAGAGAAAGCATTAACACACCAGGCAAGCACACCTCGCATCTTACCCTGCTGGCAGCTGATTTTCCCAGGCCTGTCTCTGCCCAGGCCTGGTGCTGCACTGGGCAGAGACCCTGCCAAGACCCAGGTGCAACTGTTAGGCTGCCCAGACCTCCTTGCAGGTGTGTAAGTGGTGTTCGCTTCTCTAGTGTGAGGGTGCGGAGGCCAGTGGAGTAGCAGGGATTCAGCGGGTTAAGCTGGAAGCTGGTCCTGGAACTGTTCGGCTTTGACTCTGTCCCTCAGTGACGTCAGGGCCTCCGTGTGGGCTGGGGCCCGGGGAGGTTTCTAAGGGACTTGCATGAAAGGGATTTCCTGTGCTGAGTGTGGGTCTCATGTGTCCCTCACTTGGATACCTGCCCTGAGGAATTCCTCCTTAATGATCTCAGTGACATGGTGAATGTGTCTTGCCCTCCTGTCATTTAAGGGGGAAAAGGACAGATCAGAATGCCATCATAGGGGCCAGCAGATGGCTATGTCTCTGGACTCTCATGTAGTCTACTGCGGTTCGAGTCCCGGACCTGGTGGCTTAAACTCACGCCGGGCACATGTGAATGAGTGCCCAAAGTCGGCTGAATGTAGTTCAATTTCAGGACCTGGAGGCTTGCTTTCTCGCTTTCTGTTACTCTGTCCTTCTGGCATCTGTTTCTCTATCTTTCTGGCGAGCACATGTGTCCTATAGCAAAAAGCTCCCCCCCCCCAAAAAAAAAAGAAAAAAAAAAGAATGCCATCATGTACCAGGATGACTGGCAAAAGCATGATATATTTAGACCTAAACTATGGTCACAAAGGAACATCAAAATTTAGATGTCATCTCTAGTAGAGAGCTCTTTCACTCTCTTCTTCCTCTTTTGTATTTCAAATTTGTGTGAAAAATGTGGAGAGTGTAGGCTTCAGAACCAATAGATTGGGTGGTTCTTGGGAAATTACTCCCCATCCCTGAGCTCATTTGTGGGAAGGATACCTTCCATACTCCAAGAAGGTTCATGTGGGGTTCCCAGGAGGTAAGTTTGTGGAAAATGTGTGTTATGAAAAAACTATGCATGGATTTCCATTTTTTTTTTGCACCAATATAAACTCATATTTTAATTCCATTTTTTCAATACCTTTTTTTTTTCTCCTAATTTGCTATGGGGTACATGTGCTCTCCAGAAAGAAACAGAGGGGGAAAGTGAGAAAGCATTTCCCCAGGAGGTTTATAATCCATGTTACAATCCCTTCTCCATTCTCCTCTTGGGATTTTGGGTGCATCCACACCTGCACTCGGCATATTTTTCAAGCCACTGGGATGAGAACTCGAACTGTGCGGTCATGTGGGATCCAGCGCCTTAATCACCATGCCAATAGCTGGCCCTCCATTAACTTGAAGTCCTGTCATATACAACACCTGGTAGACAGGCACTCAGTAGACTGCTTCTAAGTTCTCCCCCAAATGATTTTTCTCTTTTACCCTCATTTATACTGAAGTTTTAGGAGTGGTTTATAAGAAAACATCAGAGTCCTTTTCCCATAGATGGCGCTAGTTCTTTGTGCTTCAGGGAGACCATCTTTGTCTCCCTTGGGCACCTCAGACCCTGGGAGTCCAGCCCTGGGTGAGGCACACAACAAACCTTTGACAGACAGATTAGAAATCTGGTAGGTTCTGTCGGGAATTACCATATTGATTTAATAAACCTCACCTCCACAGCAATGCAAGCTTTAATATAAAGTTCCTTCTCCCAAAAGCCTGGGGGAAGTTGCAATGATGATTGTTTTCATTTACACTCTAACATCGGAGGACTGGAGCTGCAAACTGGAGAGCCAGACCCCACTAGTAACTTACACGGTGTAAATTTCATAAATACCCAAGTAGACGATTTGTTTTTCCTCCAGTGGCTTTCTGGGCAGAAAATTCAAAAGGAAAACATGACTATATGATTTAAGAAGCCGCTGTGGTGGTTGCAGCTGATAACTTACATTTCTATAATGCCTTCCAGATTAGAGCATGCCTCCCCATTATTTCATTGAATTCTCATGCCTCCCAGCAATAGGTAAGAGTACAGTATTATGGTTAAGGAAGTACTGCCTCTGCCATTTACCTACTAGGTGACCGACCATATGAGTTACTAAAGTGCTCTCCGCTCCTTTTTCTACATTAAAAAAATATATATATTTGCCTGGGTCCAGCAGGTGGCATGGTAGTTAAGGCTCTGAACTCCCACATGGCCGACTGTGAATCAAGTCCCAGACCTGGCAGCTTGAAAATCATCCTGAGTGTGTGTTGTGTGTGTGTGTGTGTGTGTGTGTGTGTGCGCGTGCCCCAAATCCCAGGATAATGATTGTGGTGTGGCCATCCTCCCTGGAAGCAGCGGGCTAGGGGATGATTTTTTCACTTCCTTTCTCTCTGTCTCTCACCTCTCTGGTGAGTGCATGTGCCCTATGACATAAACCTTAAAAAAAAATATTGTTCATAGGATGCGTGTGTGTACCAGAGAGAGACAGAAGAGGGACAATGGGGCATGGTCACTCCACAATCCCTTCTCTTCTGCTTCTCCATCCTTTTGGGATATTGGATGCATATCCACACACTCCTTACCTGTATTTCAAGCTCCTGGGCTGTTTTTCAAACTCTGTTTGGCCATGCAGTATCTGGCTACCTTAACCACCAAGCCACATGCCAGCCCTATGTTTCTAATTTTTAAAATGAGAATAAGGACTCCTCCTTTTCAGGATCACTGTGATGATATGGATGGGGTATGAATCATCCCAGCCACATAGTAAATGCTTACTAAATGGCAGGTGTTACTAAGTATGCCATCCTTCACGCTACAGGTAATCAGTTTGCCAAAGATCACACCCCTAGTATTTAGCAGGACTGGGAACACGTCCAATTCCTCTTCCTCCAACTGTATATCCCTCTGTCCGCTACCGCTCAGCCAACATGTGTACTCAGGGCTATTTTAAGGCTTCTGCCAGCAAAATTCTCCATCCTGTTGTGCCCCTTCCTGGGTCTCTGCCCCTGCTCCCATTTCACAGGGCTCCTTTTGTGTTTGCAGAACATCATCAAGAAGGTGATCGGGCAGAAGTTTGTGTACAAGTTCGTCTCTTTCCCGGAGATACTGAAAATGGATCCTCATGCAGTGGAGATCAGCCGGGAGAGCCTTGTGCTGCAGGACGGCGACTGCAAGGTGCCCCCCGAGGGCCGCGAGGCCCACAAACACAGCCTATCCGCCCTCAAGAGAACCAGCCGCAATGAATACATCCACTCAGGCCTGTACTCCTCCTTCACCATCAATTCCCTGCAGAACCCACCGGAGGCCTTCAAAACCATCAAGACGGAGAAGCTGGAGGAGCCACCGGAAGACAGCCCCCCGGTGGAAGAAGTCAGGACTGTGATCAGGTTTGTGACCAATAAAACCGACAAGCAGGTCACCAGGCCTGTGGTGTCCCTGCCCTCCACATCTGAGGCTGCGGCCGCCTCCGCCTTCCTGGCCTCTTCGGTCTCCGCCAAGATCTCCTCTTTAATGCTGCCCAATGCCGCCAGCATCTCATCCGCATCGCCCTCTTCCTCCCGGTCCCCGTCCCTGTCCCCCAACTCGCCCCTCCCTTCTGAACACAGAAGCCTCTTCCTGGAGGCCGCCTGCCATGACTCGGATTCCCTGGAGCCCTTGAACCTGTCATCGGGCTCCAAGACCAAGTCTCCATGTCTTCCCCCAAAGGCCAAAAAACCCAAAGGCTTGGAAATCTCCGCGCCCCCACTGGTGCTGTCCGGCACTGACCTCGGCTCCATCGCCCTCAACAGCCCAGCCCTCCCCTCGGGATCCCTCACCCCAGCCTTCTTCACTGCACAGGTAAGTCATTCTTGTCCTGGCCTCTCCGAGACTCAGTAAAGCTTAGCAAAAAGCAAGAGGGAACCACCAAAGCAGCTTCCTTCTGTTCTTCCACACATAGTCCATGACCGTGGGCCAAAGTCACTGTAAAAATGACTCTTCCTTCCCCAGATTAAGATAGACACAAGAGAAAAGGTATATTGGCAACAGTGGGATCCTTGTTTTTTTGTTTTTGTTTTTTTGTGTTACTTGCCAGAGGGCTTGGGTGCTCCAGGAGAGGGTCGGGGTTGGGAGAAAGCACCCTCTAATGGGGTGTGGTCATGACAAAATCTTTTCTACTCTATTTCTCTATCTCGTCAGGATTTGGGGCATGCACACACACACACTCACATGTGCTCACACACACACACATTCACATGCCTGACATGTTTTTGAAGCTGGCAGGGCTGGGATTTGAATGACAGTCAGCCATGTGGGATCCGGCTCTCTTAAATGCTAACCTGTGGGGCCAGCCCGGTTTTTTGCTTTTAGTGACCTACAGATCTTAAGATGGAACACGCACACTGGCCTTCGGAGCAGGTGCAAGCAGCGTTGCCCTAGGGAACGCTGAGTGGGCTGAGTCAAGGTCAGAAGGCAGTTGGGCTTCATGAAATGTTGAAGGCAGAGTCTTCTTGGGTCCACTTCATAAGTAGTTATTTGGTTTTGGTTAATAGGAAAATATAATTTTTAAGCTACCACGTCCAGGGCTTGAACTAAAATTAAAGTGAATTTAGGGGCAGGCAGGTGGCATGATGGTTAAGGGTGCTGGAGTCCCACATGGTGGACCGCAGTTCAAATCCTGGACCTGGTGGCTTGCTTTCTCACTCTCCCCCTCTCTCTCTCACTCTGTCCTTCTCTGGTCAAATTAAAATAAATAAATGAATGAAGATAAATAAAACAATTCCTTAAAAAATAAAACTAAATTTGGACCCAGGTAGCCTGCTTCTGGAACCCAAGCTCTTACGTTTGAAGCTGTATTTGCACTGGTTGGAGAACGCCAGTTGTCCCTGCTTGTAACCACAGTCCATGAGGTCAGCAAAGCCGCTGAAAGGAGCTCTTTGCCACTTTGTTCTCCACAGCTTCTCCCAAGTGTTGGCCCAGGGATTTCATGACAGACCAAACCTGTAGGTGGCTAGTCATGTACCCGCTGCCTAAGGACCGCCCAGAAGTGGTTCAGAAACAGCACCTCAGAGTAGCTCAGGAAGGAACTTGAGAAACGGGGCCAGGGTGGACAACCTGAGGGTCTCTTCCCTGGTGTGCTTTGTGTTTACACCCCTGAGGCTGAGAGAGGCCTACAGCCGGGCCAAAGCCAGCTCTGAGCTCAGTGTCTGTTCTCCACGGCCTGTCCCCTTCTCAAAGCAGAGTGGGATGGGATGCCAGCCCTGTCTTCTTCTCCAAGGATGTCAGTTCTGTGGTTTTGGGCCTGGATCCTGTGAACTGAGGGGTGGTTTCCCTCAGTGGGACTGAGATCGGTGCCATAGGCCGAGGGGAGGAGAGCCCTGGATAGGGGAGAGGGATCGAGGGTGGATGCCAAGTGGATGCAGAGAGTAAGGCCAGGAGATAGCATTCGTGGGAATGGCCTAAAACCAGGGGTAGAGAGCCGAGGAGAGCCAGGGCTCTTTGGTAGCGGGCTCGTGTCGGGCAGATGACAGCCAACGGTCCTCAGCCAAGCTGTGTGGATCGGGCCTTGACATTTGAGTTAGTGCTGAGAGTCCAAAACCAGGAGCAGGACTTCCCGAGAAAAGATAGGGGGCAGGGGTTGGACCGAGGCAAGAGAGGGGACAGCTGGGAGAGACCCAGACTGAGAGAAGGCCTTCTGGCCAAAGGAGGGAGGGGATGCCAGGTGGGCTCTGAACCCACTCAGAGCCAATGGAGTCTCGGGGTGCACTGGGGAGATAGTAGGACTTCAGGACCTAAACTCTACCTTGGAATGCCCTCCCCCACTCCCACCCACGGAGTGAGGGAATTGGTGACGAGGGAGGACCAAGAGGAAGCAGAGCAGGGCAGGGATCGGGGCTGTGAAACTTGGCTGGTCTCCTGGGTGGTTTCCCTGACATCAGACAGGAGGATATTTGTGGGCTTTTATTTTGACTTGACCAGTCTGGGGCCTTTCAGGCTGAGGGCAGGCTTGAGGTCCAGGTGAGGTCTGGATTTTCAGAGAGGCCCCTCCTGAGGAGCTGCTACAGGGGTGTCCCACAACCCACCCTGCAGCCGCAGTTCTTCCCAGGAGAAGGGCAAGCAGGACAGCACCGCCTCCTCCTGCATTCCTCTCAGGCTCAGCCTTAAGAAGAGCCCGCTTCTTGGAAGCCATGCCCAGGGACCCAACAAAGGACACTAGGTCTGAGGGATCTCTCTCCTTCCAGGGCTGGGGCTGTCCCTGACCCCAGACATCAGTGATAGGCACCCTCCCTCAGATCGTGAGTTCCGACCTTAGCCCTTTTCTTGTCACGGGATGCTGCGTCCCTCTGCGGGGTGTGGTGTGTGCAGTATGACAGCAAGGACGCTGTCCATAGAACCATCCGGTAACCTGTGGGGACTTCGATAAGCTCTTGCTGGCAGTTGGCTTAGCAAGGAAGGGCATGTTGTACCAACCTGATCCCCTGTAAGTGAGATCCCCAAGATGGGTTCCTTCCAGCTAAAAACAGGCAGGAAGTAGAGTAGAAACGAGTCTTGGCATGACCCATGTCATGTGGTTGCTGTTCCCGCTTGGGACCATAAAGAAAACCACATCATGTAGCCCAAATTCAGATTCAGAATTGCTCTCCACAACGTGACGTGTATAAAACATCGTCAGCAGCGGCCACTTCTCCACCGCCATGCCACCGCTAGCATCAGAAATACTCGCGTTGTGGCTGCAAGGAGCCAGACAGTTGAAAGTACCTTAGTTCTGTTTCGGTTTTTAGGTCTATTTTTTTTCTTCCATGAGTGAAAAGACAGAGAAACAGAGGGACAACACCCCCAACAGTGTCTCGATGCCACAATCCTGCTCAGCCTCAGCCAGCCCTGGATCCTGGGCATGTATGTGCCCGGCATACTCGGGGCTGTGTCCAGAGTGGTCAGCCTCACACAGCATCCTGTTTTACTGGTTTTACTGGTGTGCCACAGTCAGGTCCATGTTTTTGAGTTTCTTTTTTTTTTTTTCTTCTTTTTTGGAGAGGCTTTTGCTATAGGGCGCATGCGCTCGCCAGAAAGAGAGAAACAGAGAGACAGAAAGTGAGAAATCACCCCCCAGGAGTAATTGTCATGCACACACACGTGCCCGGCGTGAGTTTAAGCCGCCAGGTCCGGGACCCGAACCGCAGTCGACCACATGGGAGTCCAGCAACACAGCCATTGCACTAACTGCTTTTGAGTTTTGAATAAAGATTATTAGTGTAGGTAGACATGATTACCCAAAGGCCCCTCAAACAGGGGACCATGATGAACTGAAAAGCTAGAATACAAACACCAATAGGTACCCGGGCGATAACTACGGGGCCATATTTGCATGCTGCCACAGAGCACTGTGGCTGTCTCTGTTGGCATAAGCTGCAGAAATTGAGACTGGGGGAGGAGCCAGGACGTGAAGCTCTCTGGCCCCTTGCCTGGTAACAGGGCAGCCCAAATGGTGCCAGCTGGAACTCTTGATCCTCTGTTGTCTCCTGCACCTCGGTGTCATCTGTTCCTCTTCCTTCCATTTGTCCCTTCTGTGCAGTCCCTCTGTCCTCCCATCTTAACCAGGTGAAGTTCATTGAGAATTGGCACCTTGCATTTCCCTTCCTTTATGCTAAGCCCTCTGTTAATCTGAGGTGTGCTATTTGAGATGCTGAACTGAGATAGTGCGGGCACCAGGGCACGCCCTCATCCACCTTTGCATGCCGCAGGGTGTTTTCTGAGCAGCGGCCTCAGCACTCGCTGAGTGGAGACAGCCTGCTGAGGTCTGAAGCGCCTCGTTCCTTCAATGCTGATCAACGAGACAACTTTGAGCCCAGATCGTAAAGTGGGAATTTGGAGCAGTGGGCAGTCTGGCGAGGAGCAATCGGGTGTTACGTGTCCCAGTCCAGTGCTGGGGGACTTACTCATCTGGTGGTCTCTTTGGCCATTTTTACCAGCAGGAAAGAGTTTGTGTTTTTCTTCCTCCCAAGGATAATACCTTTCTTCTCGCTCTGAAACACTTTCCCAGCTCAACCTGCTGCAGCTCTGTCCGTATTGACCACTCTCTCGGGCCAGGAGTTCTTGGCAGCGGAAGTCCCGGGTAGAGTTTTGTGCAAATGGCTGATGTCCCAGGTGGAAGGAAGCGTTTGGTTCTCTGAGCTACAGATTTCCTTAGAAAAACCACCCATCACCCTGGGACCCCCTGTCTCCCCACTCTCCATGCCTTTCCTGTCGCTCTTCTATACCTACCCTCAACCCATATGGAACTCTCCATTTTATTTATTTTTCCTTAAGACCACTGCGACACAAACTTCTGTGGGATCCGACTGGTCTCTTAGAGTCCTTAAAACCATGTTTTTATTTGAACTTGGACAACTCTAGGAGTTTCCAGAGAGTTACAGTCACCTTTTATTTGAGGATTTGGTTTTTTTAGCCCCGAGGTGGCATTGCCATGGATTCTGTTGGCCTCTGTGGGAGTTTAAGACTAGAAATGCTAAATAGAATCTTAGTTTTCTCTCCTTTACTTTCCTAAAGACCGAGTGACGGACTTTGCTGAGTACCTCAGCTTACCGAATGAAGTACTCACCTTCTTGCTGAGCGGCTCATCCGTATCCTCTTTAATCGGCCCAAGTAACAAATGGTATTATCATTCGTTAATCCATTTGGGAGATAATGTTACTGGAGGTGGGAGAAGAATACTGAGAGGGCTTCATGGAGGGGGCGATCACGCGTGGACAGGGTGTTGACAGATTGGCAGTTTTTCTGGCAGACCAGGTAAGGAGGGCACAGTAGGCAGAGGAACAGCTTGAGGCGAGGCATACAGATGTGCCCGGCTCAGTACCGGGGAA